GTATGCATATACGCTCTGATTTTTTTAAGGTATTAGATATGACCAAATAATACGAAATATTGTCGCAAATGTTTGTATGTGTAATTACGACGTATATTATGCATTCTTCTGATGTTTTACTTTTCAAGGTATGTAGTGTTAAAAAAATTAGGGCCGTGTCACACTTTTTGGCGACTAATATTTCTATTCAAAATAAGGCCACCAGATAATATAAAATGTAATCTAATTATATTTTACTTTTCGAAATATATATGATGCATGCTGAATATCCACACATGATCTTTTCCTATGTACATATACCCACACACAATTCTTTTTAGTTTTCGGAATGTACTTTGCATGCCAATACCCATACGTGAGTTTTCGTACGTACATGGACCTAACATATCATACCTGCATACCCTTTTTCAATACATGCATGCTTTGAAGATATACATAAAACTGATATACTTTGAACGATATATAATCCAAAAAATTATACACCATTTTTAACACACGCAAATTATTTTGAGACATACCGATAAATGATATTGGAGATATACCCAGAAATAGTACAATTTACATATACGACAGATATTGACCAGATATATGAAAAAGTTAGTACGTGACTAGGTATACAATTTTTATAGGTATATGAATTAGTACGTGACTAGGTATACGATTTTTATAGGTATATAAATTAGTACGTGACTAGGTATATGAATTAGTACGTGACTAGGTATACGATTTTTATAGTTATATAAATTAGTACGTGACGAGATATATGAATTTTTATAGGTATATGAATTAGTACGTGAATTTTTATAGGTATATGAATTAGTACGTGCCAAGGTATGTAAAAAAATAACACATCAATAAAATACACGTACCATGCATGGATCATTAATTGTTGATTTTCTCTCTCTTATTTAATGAGGGCATTAAGTGTCCAGATCAAGCAATAGTTCTTTCTTAACTAAAGTGTCAATGTTTAACCCATTAGTTCTAGTACTAATACAGGTGCACGCATCTTAGTGTAATTTGACGGTTTGTAGGCAAGGTGCCCAGGCACCTAGGTGCCCCAAATGGCCCATGCACCCGAGGTAACCCACATATATATATATATATATATATATATATATATAGTGTTACTATTCATCATTTAGGGTGCAGAATAAGTTATTCTTCATACGAGGTAATTTTACGATCGTTTCCTAAATAAATTACATTTAGAATATAAATAGTTACATGCATATTGATTCAATATGTAACCTTTGGTATAAAAAACAAAAATATAGGTTATAAGATCAGAAAAATCACATTTTATGTATGTTTTATATTATATTTTTACATTCGTAATTTTACGTAACATAAGATAAGATCTCTGTTAAATATGTTTTGGTCTCACTGTTAACCATTTATCATAAGATCACTTGAAAAATATGCATGCTTCCTTGCTTACTACAGTTTTCAGCGCAAGATTTGTTTGCGCCTATCATTTTCCCATTGACAAAACGTAAAAGCCTACACATTTTTTCTTCTACAACACCTGCTATTTATGGCTAACGCACTGTCATTTTTGAGTTTGCATCATCGGTCGTACCCTTGGTGAGCAGGAGGGTGTCAATAGAGCGGCCAACTGGTGCATGCATGATTGACCGAGTGAACCATGGTGGCAGGAATTTGAGTGTCAAGTGTCAACACAGAAGGCGTTGATGAAGGGTGTGCGGGACCATTTTTTTTTACGTTAATACGAATTGTGGTGTTTGGTTCGGTGGGAAAATATGTCCCCATATGTCCCAAAAGACAAATAATAATAGTACAAAAAACAACCATAACAACATTACCGAGTGCCCAACTATCCTGAATATTGACTGAGACGCACACTGGCACAGTGAATACATCACTACTTAAGCGACCAGGCTGCCAGATTAAGTAGGTTTGAAGCTGAAGCAATAACAATCGTAATAGAAGTTTTGGCCGGTCACTGCCACCGTTGTCGTCTCACCTGTCTACTCTCTCTCCGTCTTATCTTAATTAATTTATGACATGAACTTAATAGTACTCTCGAGACAAATGGTCAACTACCAACTTCAGGGCCTAGGTGATCAGGGTGGACAATTTTAGAGACCCAAAATAGTATTTCACTGTGTGCATCCTTTATTTTTATTTTTTTTTGCCAAAAGCATCATTCATGTCTTCAGCGTATTGATGCAGAGATCAGTAGCTCTTTTCGATACCAATAAATTTTGTTTATTGAGAAATTGAATTCCATCTAGAAAAACCGAAGGACCAGATGGTCACGCATTAGTCTTACAACATCACCGTTTGGGTGCCGCTAACCGTCGAGCTCGGATGTGGGACAGGGGCGGAGCGAGAAAATTTGACCATTGGGTTCACTCCATGAGTTATTGTGAGAACTTGGTACTAATTTGTGAGGTTTATAGTATAATTTTAAATTCTCTTACAACAAAGTTATAGCACCAAAAACAACATAATGAATAGAAATATGGTACTCCCTCCGTTCATTTTTTAAGTCATTTCAAACAACTCAAAATAGGTTGTTTTGTACATTGTCTGAAATGTCTTCAAGGTCTTATAAAAGTGATCAGAGGGAGTATCACATATCACTCATTATGTTGCTTTAAAATCTGAAGAGTGTAAGACATACCGGTTCAATAAAATTATAAAATCACTTATAGCCTACCTGTATGAATAGTAGGCTTCAGGTGGTTAGCTGACCTTTGATGCACTTAGCCTATGTCTAATTGATGACCTTGATGTACTTGTATCATTATCTCGATCTGGTGACCGAGTTTTCTTCGAAAAATATCGCTCCATAGCATAGATCAATCAAAGTTCATGGAGAAAAACAGATAAAAAAACTATGGCAAAAATTCACTATCACACTAGGTTATTAGGCTAGGTAGAACATACATAGGAAAGAGGCTTAATGGTTCAGCGCCCAAAAACATTGCACCCAACCCGTACAAGCTCGCGTCGAGAAAAAATGCATCGGTTGCAGCTGCGCTAGCCAATGGCAACTGGATGAGAGGGCTGCAGCAGCTGACAACAACTACAGACCTTCATTGCTTCTTTTATCTCTGGCAACATATTCAACAAGTCAACCTCACTGATGAACCAGATGCCATCTGCTGGAAGACCTCAGCATCAAATCTTTACTCTGCATCCTCGGCATACGACCTTCAATTCTTGGGCTCCATCAACCGTCCTGCCCTGGACATATGGCATGTCAAGTCTGAAGGAAAAGTGAAATTCTTCACCTGGCTGCTGGCGCAGAACAGGCTTCCCACTATCGATCGGCTGCGAGCCAGAGGAAGTAACATCGATAACATATGCTCTCTCTGTGATCAGACTGCAAATGCGGCTCATTTGTTTTGCCACTGTCCCTTCACTTCTGAAGTCTGTTTCAAGCTGCACTGCACCCTGCAATCCAGTCAAAATGCTGCTGCAAGCTTCAACAACATGCATTTCCTCACTGCTCAGGATTGGTGGACTCATTACAGCTCTGGCCCCAAGAAGAATGCCCAACAAGCCATGTATTTTGCGTGGAACATTTGGAGTGGAACATTTGGAATGAACGTAACCGGCGGCTCTTCAAGCACATCTCTTCGACTGCTGACGAGGTTGTCGCCTTAATTGTCTGAGACTTAAATCATGTACGTGTAGCCTTCTGTAGACCACCCCTTGAACCAGACTGAGGTTTCTCCCTTTTGTAACTTATACTCTGCCAATGGCAACCCTCTTTTACATTCTTTATCTATAACTAGATGACCCGTTGCGCCAATGGCGCAAAGGGCGATAGCAAGCCAAGTATTGTAAGAGGGGTGATAGGAAAATTCAGGCACATACCAAAATAATAAATACTTACTGCTGGTAGATAGATACTTAGTGATGATACAGTGTTATAGAAGTTTTTTATCAATTATTTACAATGTTATTAGGAAGCAAGGTAGATACCCAGAGATACATCTTATGAGGCAACGAACATTAGATGGAGTCATCGTTGCACGTTTCATGAATATTGAAAACGGCTTTGCTGTCCAGGCAACCTTTATTAGTGCTAAAGCCTGGGTTTGTTCAAAACACTGAAAGTACAAGCGTATGAGGACAGCAACAGGGTAGCAGTCTTCACTTGTCCTTGCGAGTGGTGGTTTTAGTATCCACAGCAAAGGCTTGGGATATACTGGAAAGCAAGCGGACATCCTTCAAACTGGTCTAAGAGGCAGCAGATAGCAAGTAAAACAAAAAAAAAATCAAACTGAATTCAGACCATAGACCATCAAGTTCGCGCCGAGGGCCAACGACCTGGCCGCCACCCCAAACGTCCGCGGTCGCCGCAGCTTGCCAGCTTTCCTGTCGCTGCAACTTGCCAGCTTTCCCTCGGTGACCTCCTCCGACTACCCACCTGCACATAGAGCAGCGCAGCCTCCAGCTCCAGCTCCAGCCTCAAGCTTTCACATTTCCACAAAGTAGTTTCTATCCAGAATTTAATCATGTACAACCAGACCACTCAACTAAGTTACAAACAAAGGACAATTAATGGAATTACTATTTATAAGAACATCATATGTGTATTTCACACAAGACACACTGCCAAGGTAAGGGTAAATCTGGTTACAACACAACAGAAATTACATAAAAGCAAGTTGTTAAAGATAGAAACAGAGAAATATATAGATATATTCATATCTATCAAAACTGCTACATTCAAGCCGATTCCAAGAACCATGGTTATATGGTTTTGCATTAAGTTGCAATGTACTTCTTCTCAAACCTTCATACGTTCCAACAAAGCAACATATTCAACTATAAAATTGGTTCAACTGAAAACTAATCTCACACTAAATTGATCTGGTTGGTATCCGATAGCAGAACAAGTTTGAGGGGTTGATAACCCATGATACCAACTATGTAGGGATGCACGAAGCAGAAACAAAAGTAACAGTGATACATAAAGAGAAATGATTTGTACATACAACAAGATATCTGAAAGGATCTTATTTTGCCAACAAAATATTTATGCATCGGTTCGCTTCATTTGAAATCTGCATACCCAAAAAAAATATTAAGGTAAGAAAACAGTAAAGCCGAACAAAGAACAGATCTAATGATAATATAAAGGGTATACCTTTGCCACCGCATCTTTTGCCACATGCAGAACTTTTTCAAGAAACAACTGAATAGATTCTTCTAAAGCATCTTTTTGAGAGCAAACTAATCATTGCTATAAAAAAGAATGATTAATGAAACTAATCTTCCTGTGCATAGGCATGAATAGTGGACCTGATTATTGAGCATCTCAGCAATTAAAAACAAAGCAATCTGCCTAGCAGCCAGTACCTCATGTACTGAAAGGCTGGAATTAGAATGCAAATAGTTTGAACCCTATTTTTCAAATACTCATTATTGTTTAGCACAGAAATTAGAAGATTATGCTTCAGAAAAAACAAACTGAACTATTATAAAATTAAGTACTTTGGGTTCCCCTAGTAACTACATTTTGTAAGGAAATCAGGTTGCAAACCTTTGACCACATGGAGTTGTCATTACCAAGTGAAGCCTTAATCAACTGTTTTATTGTTTTGTGCTCTTCCGAACTTGATATTTCTACATCAGTGCTTATCTACAAAGTTGAGAAAATAAATTAAAGCACTTCACAAAGATTTAGAAAAGGAAAAAAAACGGCAGTACACACAATCAAGTAAAAGGATTTTTCGTCAGTACATGATGAAGTTGTGGTATGCTCAAACCGTTGTCAGCATGCATGTTTGTCTTTATAGAACTAAGGTTTACAACCATATCTCCCTCTTGAACATAATTTCCTATAGTTGAACTCACTGGTTGAACTAACACCAGTATGCCCATCAGGGGTGTGCAGACTGAAGAAACATAAACACTAACACGGTTATTAATGTAATGCAAATTAGTGCAGTTATTGCTTTGCGGACATATGGACACCGTCCGCCTGCATCCCTACTCTATGGTATATAAGTTGGGAACCATTTTGAATTTTGGGTTTAAGATGAGGTAGACAAAATAAGCAAGGTAGAGTGAAAAGAATATAATAGAAACAAACCTTTGCATGCTCTTAGTATGGTATATCTCCCTGCTATGATCATCATTATAATTGAAGATCCATACCTGCAAAAGCAGTAAAAAATAGTGAGACATCACCTAAAAATGATTACCGTGTGAATCTGGATCTGCAAAAGTGGCTTGTAACAAATTCCCATCCTGTTGGGTTGTAGTCAACATCCATCCTGACAACTCACCTCGTGTAAGACTTGACTTCTAAAAATCAAATATAAATCAAAAGGAAAAGAATACTGCATGTTGCCAATTGGCTTGATACAGACCTAAATGAAATGGTAACTTTCAGGTGTACATTGTATAATGTAAGGCAGGAACTGCACATCTCACTTAGTTCAGTGACGCATTACACTACAATGAAATAGCACCCCATGAATAAAATCCTTCCTTATTGCAGCTTCAGTTTTGCTTGATATATCCTTGAAGTGTTTGTGTGCTATTCGTATTGACAGGAGATATGCATATGCTAGCACATGCACTTACCATACAGATCTATATAAACCACTCGTTTTCTCTACCAAGCGAGTGACCTTCACATATATCTATATTTGCTACTGACAATTTGAGTTCCTCAAACAGAAGGAATCATCCAAGAGTGATCGAACGAAGAATGGTGTACTCTTTTAAACAGAAGAAAGGCATGGCTGAAACACATTTTTTTTTTCTAGAGCATATTTTTAGTTCTGTGAAATAAGAAAGAAGAAAGAAGGCAATAGAACAGCTAAAAAGAAATTAAGTATGCACACGTACATTGTTCTTCAGTCTTCCTCAAGGTCCTTCCTCTTGTATTCTTCATCCGATCTGCACACATCTTGTTTAGAAAAAACATAAATCAAGAAATTAAAATCTGGTGGGCTGGGTGAGTCAAAAAATCAGTGCTCATCCAAACGACTTCACCAGCTTGGTCAACGATCAATATTTTGGATGGGCAGCTGTAGGAATCAATCCAAACAGCCGCTGAGTTCTTCATAGTAAAATCCGTAAAATGCAACAGCTTACCAAATTCTATGGTCAATCATGTCATGAGCAAACTTCAATAACAATTTTGGATAGACTGTTCATGCCCTGCTGCACTCGGGCGGAAACAATAACTTACTGACGATGGTGCTATTCAGTGTCAGAAAACACCCGATATAAAGTTAACTGACATTCCTAGTTTTCTTGTATAGTATGATCATACCAACAAATTCTGAAACTTATGAATTGGCTGACTTAACCCAATATATAGCCCATGCTAAATTGGTCGTAGTTGGTTTTAGTCTTTCAGTTCGTAAAATCCCAAAGGGATCACAAAACTGATTTGCAGAAATTCACATGCTACACTTCATTAGATGAAACAGAACCCACTACCTAATTAGCATGTCGCATTTCAATTCAATAGTCTGCACGTTATCTTCGTGAGCAGGACGATGCCCAAAAAAGAAGCACTAAGGATCATGAAATAGCTTCTACATAGTCTATCAGAACCGCACCTCAATATGACCAGAAAATCAGAGCATTTGTGCCAGGTCAAGAACCTAAGAATATCCAGGCATCAGCATTTAAACAAAGCCACACAGCAGCGACAGTTGTGGTGGCATCAAGAACCAACAGCCAGGTTAAATGGCACAACACGAGAATGCTAAGCGAGATCCAAGAAAGATGCAGAAGCCGTCATACCATCAGTACAGCGAGTGCGCCACGCGAAGGAAAAAACCGGCGAGCAGCGAGATAAGAAGGAGCGAAGCGAGTGGGCAGCGAGAGCGAGACCTAGCCCGCGTCTCCCCCTGGGACCCTCTTTCCTCTTGCCGCCGCCGCCGCCACCGCCGATGGAGAAAGTGGGAGGAAATAGGAGAGGGAGGTGCAGCAGACGGGAGAGGGTCATCGGCTGCTGTCGGCCTGCACCCGCGAGGTCGGGCATGACCTGGCGGCGTCTTGATTCGCTCCTCACACCGCCGGCTGCAGGATCCAGGTTACTCCCACACGACTGCCGTCTCTCTGCCCAGCGTCCTACCTCATCACCGGCCGCCCTCCTAATCCTTTGTCTCAGGTATCTTTGTGAGCACGAGAATGCTAAGCGAGATCCAAGAAAAAAGCAGAAGCCGTCATACCATGTGGCACGTCGAGCCGATCCGGGGGAGGACTTCCGCCGCCGCCAGCAGCAGCCGCTGGTGCGGCCCGTGGTGGAGGCGGGTGAGGGTGGGCGCGCGGGGGGCTTGCCGGGGGCGGAGGCGGGGGAGGGGGTGTCAGGCGCCCCGAGGTGCGGCGCAGGGTCTGACCCATGTGTCGGCGCCGGCGAGAGGGAGCGGGTGGCGAAGCAGAAGATGTGTAGCATAGATTTGGGATGAGCCACGACTTCCTACTGCCCGCTGCCCTTTTTCATAGCGAGGAATAGCGAGGACGTGGAGGCAACGGTCATGTCTAGCACACCCTTCATCATTTATATGTTCAATATGTTCAATGCAAAGGCAGAGCACCTGCCATTTGTCTTCAAAAAAAGAAAAAAGAGAAAATGAGGCAATGTAATTTAATTACCTCAAATTTTGAGATACAATTGTTGCCGCTGTCGATATGTAGGCTGCGGCCGTCCGAGGCGGCGAGGCGGCGAGGCACCAGGAACACGCACAGAGGATAGGAGAGATCAGATACGAATTGAAAAACGAAGACACGGTGAGGCGTGCGGTTGCGTACATGACTAATCACGGTCATTAATCATGGCAAGAGTCAAGGAATCCTCGTGGGCTTTTCACTTGTGGGCCTTTTGCTTTAGTTGCTTAGTCCGTGACAACCTCGTGTTGATGGGTCAGTCATAATTTTTTAATGGGTTCACATCAGGTAAACTTGCAGATACATCCACGTATGGAGCAAAATCCGTTGGGTTCAGTTGAACCCAATGTTTGTACGTTGGCTCCGCCGCTGACGTGGGAGCAGGGAGTGGGAAGAAAGGGGAGGAGTCCGATTGGTGGCAGCAACAGTCAATGCAGACGCCAAACTTCCTTGTGTTTATGTGCGATTTGATGGTCCCTTGGACAAGTTATTTCGTCTTAGCAGCTGGCCTAACAGCCAAGAGAACTACCAGGCAGATTCTCTCTTCACCCAAATCAGATCGTAAGAACGCAGTCCGACTTAGACTATATGAAACTAAAGAGCACACACATAAACTGAGAACCGCAGGCGAGTAGGTGGCCAAGCATTGAACTTGCATGACATGCAAGCGTTTTCAAACTCTATAAACAGAACGTAGCAGCTGTTATCTCTTCCACACCAAAACCACATCACACAAGCTAGTACAACCATAGGCATCCATCAAAATGGCTTCACGAAACACGGCTTTATTCCTCGTCGGGTTGCTCCTCTCCTGCGTCGCCATGAGCAACGGAGCAAGAATCCTCGAGGAGGACACAACTCCTTCCAAAGGCGAGGAGCACCTGCCGGAGGTGCCAGTGCTGAAATTTTGTCTATTTTGGGCCTAGTCTAATAGCAGTTTCAGAAATTCCTAATAAATCCTAGAGGCCCACACAGCCTATTTGTGCAAGGCAAGAGGTGGAACAAAAGTTTAGTCCCACATTGCTAGTTGAGTGGGAGTTGGACCTCCTTATAAGGGAGGTTCTCTCCCCACTTGTACGAGCATGAGAACAAGAGGAATATCCACGCACGACGGGTATACGAAAGGTCACGTGGGAGTTGAAACATTTTTCTGTAGTGGACACTGAATTCGAACAGCGCGCCTCTTCGGCCGCTGCCTGTTCGCTTCACCTCCCGTCGCAGCCTCTTCGTGTCCTTCTCCTGTGCCTATATAAGAGAGGTCGCTCCTCTCCAAAGAGACACACCAGAATCCTCTCGCCACAAAGTTCCTGAGCACCGCGCTGCTGCTACGATCTTTCCCATCCCGGCTTGCGGCGTGTACCGCACGTCGGGACAGTAGGCCTCCGAAACCGCATCTTTTGAGTCCTGTACGGGAGAAGGGTGATAAGATTTTTGGGGAGCGCTCAGCGTGACTACTGGCTGCTTCATCACGGATGATCCGGTCGCCGACGACTACTTCCCCGACGACGACTTCTTCCCCGACGTCCACGACCTCCTCGACGACATGGCAGGCGAGGACACCGACCCCAAGTCCAGCGCTTCTGCTGTTGCTGTCCCGTACGTGTTCTTGTCTTTCCTGTTAAAGGTTCTGCCACAGTTCCTTGTTCTAGTCTTTTGTTCTACACATGTTAGGTTCTACTTCATATATACTACTTGCTATACTGTCTGCTTTAGATATGATAGGCTACGGTTCATATATGCAGAAGCTATTTACCTTTTCTCTGTTAGAACGCATGACTTGTTTTATCTCTTCTATATTAGTCATGCTTTATCTAGTATTTCTGTTAATAAAATCATTTGGTAAATTGCTCATATTTCCAACAATCCAAAAACCTTATTATAGGCAATTTACCCCAAGTGGTTTTGCTGCTTCCATGAGACCTCCTATGTTTGAGGGTATCCACTATAAGAGGTGGCGCGTGAGAGTAGTCTTATGGTTTCAAACCATGAGTTGCTATGACGCCACTCTCGGCAAACCTGAAGGAGAGCTTGATGCTCAACAGGCACAACCTTTTCAGAAAATGGATACTCTGTTTAAGGCTGCTCTCTTGAGTGTTCTTGGTGAGAACATAGTTGATGCTTATGCGTCAATTGATAATGGAAAAGATATGTGGGATGCACTCGAGGCCAAGTTTGGGGTCTCAGATGCTGGCACTGAGCTGTACATCATGGAGCAATTCTATGATTACAGGATGACTGAAGAGCGCTCCGTGGTTGAGCAAGCTCATGAGATACAGTCATTTGCTAGAGAACTTGAGCACTTCAGTTGTATGCTACCGGACAAGTTTGTTGCCGGAGGTATCATCACTAAGCTTCCTCCTTCATGGAGGAACTTTGCTACCTTGCTGAAGCATAAGAGGCAGGAGTTTTCCGTCCCGGATCTCATTGGCACTCTTGATGTGGAAGAAAAGGCGAGAGCAAAGGACACACGTGCTCGAGGTATTCAGGGAGGATCTAGTGCCAATGTGGTACAGAAGCAGAACTTCCAGCCCCACAAGTTCAAGAACAAGGGCAAGTTTGATGGTAAAGCAAAGTTTGATGGGAAGAACAAGGCTGTGCAACACACGAACTTCAAGAAGAAGAATGGCAAGAAGAAAGGTGCTT